AAAAAAAAATTTTTTTTTTTTTTTTTTTGACAACTGATTGGACTTACATTATTTACATTATTCGGGATTATTTCCAATATTTATCCTAAAAATAATTACCCGTCGGTGTTAGAGTTTTTTATCTAAATATAGAAAAAATAATATGGTGCTTTTTCCGAATTCCGACTAACAAAAAAGATAGTAATTGTATATCTCTCTCATGTATTACAAAAGATATTATAGTGAAGTTCTTCTTCGTTACCGAAATACCGAGAGATCAACAAATAAGTAACTTAGTTTGAGTTTGATAGATATCTAAAAGTTACTTAATTTGCCCAAAGTCCAAAAATTTCTTATGATTTACGCGTCGCAGCACTTCAATTACTATTCAATTACTATCTGTTATCTGTTATCGTCATTATCGTCAATTGCATCATTTGCTACGTCATGAAAATTATTTGAATATTTTATATTTACTCAATAAAATTCCAAATATAGAAATGTTAATTTAAATTTTATGCAGATTTAATTATAAAGAATATAAAGAGATAAACATGCGCGTCAATTTTTGTCAATAATACAATAAAATGCATACCAAGAAATCATTATAATTTTATTGATTGAATAAAATTTTTATTATTAATAATAAAATTTTACTATAAATAATGATTTCTAAGAATTATTTTTAGAACTTTAAATACAAGATTCTTATTTAAATTTTTATTATTTCCAAATTTGTGTTTATTTATTAAAATAATCTTATTGTTAAGATAAGAAATATTTTAAATTTTTATATTTAAAAAAGAATATTATAATTATAGTTTAGTGGAATTTAAAAAAAAAAAATATCTAATAATAAAATTTTCGTACAATATAAATACATGATATCAGTTCCTCTTCTTTATTTTTTTCACAAATTTCTTTTCTCTTCTTTGGAGTTCATGGATTTGTCAATTATTATTAGTCCGTATTTTGATTGGTCAATATATATATATATATTTTTTTCTCTTAAATAACGAAAAAAATTATACAATGAGCCAATATATATTATATAATAAGTCGATCAAATTCATATAATGTTATAAAGACCTCATTCAGGATACATGAAACTCTTTGCAATTCTCAAACTTCTCAAACATTGTATCTGTTACTTTTTAAAAAGAGATTGAATTTTTTTTATCATATATTAGATGTAACATACTTTTCATCGAGTTTCATAATAAACTTTCAGGTTTCAAGCCCTTCATTGGATTAGATCACCCGGCTAAAACGGGCCTTATATGCCGAAATATCTAAATATATTGGATTCCTAAACCTTCCATCAAGTCATATGATGATTGATTATTGAGAACTATTAAGTGTTCTAAATAAAGCTATGTAGCTAGCTAGCTCTTTATAATATTTATATCTGCTTTTTAACATAAACGCTGGTCTCTTCCAAATTTTGGAAAGAGACTTCTTTCATGATATTGTTCCCTTATTAAGTTTCTTAACCAGAGATACCAAGATACCAAAGGTATCTGGTCAAGTAAATGTGTATTTTTTTGGAAACATTTGTCTTTAAATAACCTTGTCTTCTAATAGTAAGCTCGAATGTTGTACTTACCTCCACACCGTGATATTTTTACTAAGACCCTTGATGCAGAGTTAAGTCACTGAGATTTTCGTACAACAAATAAATTAAATAAATTGCATAATTTTTGAACTGTTTATTGATTTATTACTACAGGTCTCATAATGTTTAATTAATTGTTTCAAATCAGATCATGTTTCAAATTAGATCATGTTTTTGAACATTTCTCACATGAAAGTTGGAGTTTTTGTGCGAATGGATCAGGAAGAAAACCATACATAATAAATCTTACCTATTTAACAAAGTTCGCGAGATTCATGTTTGGAGTGTCAGTTCACTTAACACCACAACTGGAAATAACGAAAAAGTTGTCAAAAAAAATGTAAGTGAAAAGGATTCCAGGAATAATAAAAGTAGTGATGTTAACAGAGATACAGATGCAAATATTTTAATGTGTGAGTACTGTATTAACAGAGAAGAATCAAGAGAATGCATGTATTTTCGGTGCAATTGCGCCGAATTTGTTTCATGGAGAGCATTGCATGGATCAAGTATCAATTTGTTCCGTACCACATGCATCAAATGTTGGAGAATAATGGACTCGATATAACTCGCGTCGTATTCACCACATTATACTGAAACCTGTTTCACCTACATAGTCGACGAGCCATTTTGCCGAAAGATCGACATAGTATTGACTCATGAAATTTTGCCTTTGATTCATTTTACAGTATTAATAAGAAAGCAAGGAATATTTTCAATGATATAAAATTTTTTGTTTCTAAATTCTAACCGTTCTACTTGAAAAAAAAAATAGAGATGGAGAAGGTAAATTTTCATGTTGGTAAAATGGAAGTCAACAAAATGGCGTCGGTTAATTTCATGCCGGTGAAATGGCTGTTCGTGTAAGTCTGTAATCATCTCGTGTGTCTCACAAAGATTCACCTTTGGTAGTTGACCATTCTTAAACCTGAGTTATGCAAAGAATCAAATAATTATTATCTGGATGAGATTCATTTTCACATTATCCTTGTTGAAATGCTCAAATATGGAACAATTTTCTTGGACCGTTACGGTCGCGCTTTAACTTGGATATGATGTCTGGTGTGTTATGGACGGTTGGGCAATCATTAGAGTAAAAATTACGATTTGGAAATTTTTTTGGAAGAGGCAGCTACAAACCCCTGGAATTATTCTTCTTTAACACTCACTGCATATTGTGATCTGTCACGCAAAAATTATTGCTAAAATAAATTATTAAACTTGTGGTGTTTGCTGATAAATCTTTTACTATTGACATTAAAGCTCAGTGTTCGCATACACAACTGATGTATGCGAAAATTTTATTAATAATTTTTAGTTACATAGTAAAATTGAGCTAGTGAGCGAAATAATATGATGCTATCAAAGAGGGTGGGAGGATTCAGATCTTAGGACATTTAATACGAGTTTATTCTTTACTCTCTCGGGCTTCTTACAAATTTCTATACTAATTGTTTTTTTTCTATCACTATCTGCAATTGCTAGCTACGAGATTTCTATACCCTTTTCTACGAACATGGAATAAACTATATTTACAAAATTTCGCCAATCTAAATCCTATTATTAAATTATATATAAAGTATCAATTTTAGCTAAAATCACCAAGAGATTAAGTAATTTCTGACCTATAGCATAAATTCGGGGTATCAGCAAGTGTATAAAAAAAAATAAGCAATGCAGTATTTCAATTCATACTCACCACCATGATTCGTTTTCACAATATCACCAGTACGTTATTTCGCAAGGTATCACATACAATTTACTGCATCTATTGTATGATGGCCAAAGATTTAATTCGCAGGAATCGATTTTGGAATACGCATCAAAATCGTAATAAAAACTATAACACTACCCATATACAAAGATCAACAAGAGGTCTTCTTTGTTGTAACTTTAAGTATATACGGGAAAGTTCAAGAATAAATTACATGAAATTACTTGTTCCCGGGATACATGATGTCTAACGTTATTGTGCATTTATTTATCAAGTACAGATAGCATATTAAATTACAACTTTCATATAGGACGTGATTTATTTTATCCAAGTGAGACTTTAGGTCTCACTTTTTTTATTCATATATATCTCTATGATATTCTTGATACAATGTATAGTCTTTTCTTTATTGATGTAGTAAATAAATCGCTCATAAGTCATGACACAACCCCTTTTCCAATATCGTATTGCGCATTATCATGATTATTTTGGCAGATTTACATGACCACGTTCCGGTAAATATCTCTTTAAGAGCAGTGAATTACGTGTATTATAAGGCCATTGATTATAAGGGATCGAATCTTTTGGATGCTTGATCAATTAATTTCTTAATCTTTTGTATCCTTTCTGGGACCAGTTTTTCGTCATACATACTTCAAAAAGGAAAAATTCCATAATCTTGGCATATGCATCATTTTTGCTGACCACGATTTACAATGTCCTCAAGTTTTTTTGACTCAGATAGTACTATGAAGCCGTTGCATCTTCAATGCAATTCGATATTTTTGGAAGAGAGCATCAAGCTCTAATCCGCTCAAGAAAGGAGGGCGAGATAGGTTCCTCATTAAGAATTCTGGATACATCTAGTCTGGAATTTGCGATTTTTCTTATTTTTAAGCTCATCAATATCCTGTCTTAATTTTGCTACCTCGGTTTTAAACTCATAATTCTCATTAATCTGTCTCGTCTTTGTGGTGATGTGCCGTCTCAATTTTGCATTCTCGGTCTTAGGCTCAGCATTCTTAGCCAACGTGTCAAAAAAAAAGAAGTAATTTTTTCAGCGACATGAACAACGTGAATGGTGGGATAAATATAAATGCGAGACTTTACCCATGTTACATGATGAAATTTTGGCGACCTCAGGTCGTCCAAATTTCTCAAGAAAAAATGTTTTATTAATACACATGCGAAAATAAATACAAACTCAACCACTTCCTAGTGGTGTACCTAATATAAGTTACTTGACAAAATATATTTATGATAAAAAAAAAATTTTCGTTCGTATTATAATTAATTATTTCAAAAAGTGGCCTGTTAGAAAATTCTCAGGAAGCCTCTCAACTCTTTCCACTATATTACACATATCATAAACGGACTTGTTGAGTAATTCCTCGTTGTAATTTCTGCTTACAGGCGGTTGACTCGATTATGACATGATTACATGAATATATTTTTCGGCTGGCGTGTCAGCAAAGCATTTTGAAATTTTTTTGTTGCAAGGAGTTCAGGCTGGTCTTGGAGTATTTCTTAAGACAACGTCATAATCATCGCGAATTTCACTTTTCAAAGTTTGAGCTTGTCTGCAGGAAAATTATCGAGCTCTGATACCACCTTTTCCGCCTTGATAACTTTTTAAGCTGCTAGTTCCTATCAACAGGAAAAGCGCAGTTTATATACTGTAGTATTTTTCTTTTGTAAACAAAATAGCGCATGTGACAAATATTTTGATTGGCTGATCCAAAAAATTTTCAGTAATGTGACTTTGTACTACTAATCTAAAAATAGTAGATATATCAATATTTTTCACCCAACTTCAGTAATTTCACCTTGAAATATATATTATTCTTTTTATTATAGTTTATTCTATCCTATTTTCTTAATCTTATTGTATTTTATTTTGTTGTAAAAATAAAAATGCATTTTTTATATTAAATATAAAATTTATTTACAACCTGGGAGTAATACTCCTAATAGATCAATCTGATCAGATTGGTAATATGGTATAACCTAAATTAATCATAAAAAAAAATGACTTTTTGTAAATATCTTGTGGTCTAGCAGTCCAATTTTAATAACCTTTTTTTTTTATTTTAATTAGCTTAATATGATTTATAAAACAAAAATAAAATTATTAAAATCCAATCACTAAATCAGATTAGATTACTAAAATCCTAATCTGATCTGAATTTTTAAGAGTACTACCTGGAAGTATAAAGGTGAACTATCAAGTTTTAAATAAGAATAAGACTTTTCCATTTAATATATTATATTTATTACTATTATTAAATTATATAAATAATATGAAAATTTATTGTTAAATTTCTAAAATAATAAATAATTTATTCACTTATTTTAATAAAAAAAAATTAACAATAAATTTTATAAAGTGAAAAGGACTATATCTGATAAGAAATATTTAAATTAAACATTTCTTTATATTTTTTTTTTATAAAAACTACAAGTATTTTTAAAATAAATATTTCTTCACTTTATTTTTTTTCTTGAAAAAACCACAAAAATTTTTTAAAATAATGTAATATAAAATAAATCTGACTAATAAAACTCATTAAGTCATGTTATCAAAATTTTTTTGATAATATTCTTGGAGTAGTTATTATTTGCTAAAAGTCACATGCTAAAATATCTGATATGTATTTTGCAAATTTGGTATATATAAACAAATTGGATGCAAAACATGAATATAGTGATGTACTTTAGCACAATTTCTTTAAATTTGTACTCAAAAACATTACAACTGAACTAAATGATTTCTCCAAACTATTTTTATTAGTTTTAAATTCAAATCACTTTACAATATTAGATTCTTTTTAAAATAATAATAAAAAATAATATTATAATATAGATTACAGCCAATTGGAAATCATATATTCAATAAATAAGATTAATATATATGATAACTTTAATATTTTGATTCTTAAAGTTAAAGTTGACAACTGTTATTTTGATATTATAGTACCTATTACATATATACTAATAGACAAGTTTCTATTATAATTAATATATTCTCAACAAAATGTTAATATATCCTTGCTTAGTTTAAATTTTAATATTAATTACTTAAATTTTAAATATCAATAGTTTTTTTTTATAAAAATAATTCTAATTTCAACTTAATACTTTTTCTTTCATAAAAATATTTTTGCCAAAATATACTTAAAATAGACTTAAAATTTTATTTTATACTTAAAATATATTGAAATAGCTAAAAATTTAAGTATAAGATGAGTGACACATATTACGTCATATTCATTTTACTATGAATTTTACTCCTTCCCCCCTTGTCAGATTTAATAACCAATTAAATTTAATTATACAATTTATATAAATAGTGTAATGTCAGATTTTAATTATCCCCTTCCCCCTTCTAATAATTACGTCATATGTGTCACTTCCCTAATTTAAGTATATAATAATATACTTAAAATATTCTTATTTTAAAATATCCTTAAAATATACTGAAATAGGCAAAATTTAAGTGTAAATTAAATATATTTTAAGTATATATTAAATACAATTTAATTCAAAAAATTTGAAAATTCAATTTTCAGTATATTTTAAATATAAAATAAGAAAATTAAATATATTTTAAATATATTTTAAGTAAAAATTTTTTATAAGGTCAAACTGCAAGAATTTCCCTTTATTTTATCATTTTAGCAATTAAATATTAATTAAATTTCAAATGAAATATGAGCGTATTCAATATATTTTTAATAATTAACAAAAATAATTTTATTGAATTTTTACACTTATTTTTCTATTAAGCCAAAAAGTTCTTAATTATTTATTAAATTCCACTTATATTTATATTTTTTAATATTTTACTAAAGATTAAACCTTCTATTATCCATATCTATATTTATATAAAAATAATATTCTAATAAATCTTGATATATACTAATAATCTTCCATTAATATAATATTTATTTTCCAATTACTATTTACTACTAATATCACTATTAATCTAATAATAACTAATATAAGTATAAATAATTATAAATAACTAAACTAAAAATAAATATTACTATAATAAATAACTTGTATAATGTAATATATTATTCTTCAATTATTTCAGTTAAATATTTATCTATATTTATTTCAATATATTATTTATCTTTTGGATAATTATTATTCTAATCACGTGATTATTCTAATATCTAGGAATAGTAAATGAGTAAGCTAGAGCAAAATTGGAAAGTAAATAAGTGAATATGACTGAATCTATGAGTAATTGAAAATGCAAAATATCTATAATCTCTTTTAAAGGTTAACTTGAAATGTCTTTCAGTTTTTTATCATGAAAATAAAAAAGTGTAAATGAATTCTGTGATTTTTAAAAAGATTCTTTGTGAAATGAATAGTTAAAAAATAAAAAATCTTATTTTTAGTTAACAATACTTCATCAGGATCTCGCTTATTTATAATAAAAATCACTATAGAAAATTGGCCTTTTACTAATAGTTTTTACCTTACTTTTTTTTTAAAATTTTCAGTACATGTTCACTTGGTCTACAAAACCATAAGATAACATCTAATTGATACTGATGATTATTACTGAGTATTTAAAATTTGGATAAAATTTTACGAAAAGTTTTTTTGTCAGTCTTTCCATATAAATTGTTGAATCCTGAAGTATCAATATAACAGAACTTATTTTCCTCACAGATATCTATTTCCTGTGTTGCTGATTTAGGACTACTTAAACCATTGACATTAGCATCACAAAGTAATTGGCAAAATGTTATTTTACTAAGACCTAACGTACTAATAGCAAAAATATTTTTTGGCATTTGTTTAAAGAAAAAAAAATTCGATTTGTAATGCAATGGGAATTATTTTATACCATATTCGATTTACATAATCTCATGTGAATAAAATGTTCTCTTACATGTAAAATCCAAAATTAGAGAATTATTAACAGATTATGATATTAAGTCTGAAGTATCTTATTGCCCATATTTAAAAAGGAAAATTGTAACAATACACTTACTGATCATTTAATTTGGTATACCAAACTCCAAAATTTCCCTTTCCATTCGAAATCTTTTTTTCAGAAAACCTTTAGCCATACTAAATGAACATTCGCTTTCTTCAAATTCTTGAGTATCAGCTAATACATGGGTTAATGTAAATTTACCACTACCAGTGTGACCAACTATAACCAAATTTTTCTTCAAATAATTTCATGTTAGGAGAATATTTAAATGTGTGAGATTTTTCTTTATATTCTTTAAACAGTTAATTTATTGTAAGAACAGTCAAGAAATTCTAATTTAAGACAGTTGCTTATGTCTAAATTAACTAATTTATCACATTATTGGAAAAATCAAGTTTTATAATATTCAGACAAAATTTAAAACTTAATTCCTTAATTGAAGTATTCAAACATTTAAGCTCAATAAGACTATTAACTTTGAATTCAGTTAATTCCATTAATTTCAGACAATTGCATACAGATAAACTCTTAAGTATATAAAGTTCAGATAAAGTTATATTTTTAAGCTGAAAATGATTGATTATTTCCAGATTTGTCATTTAATTCTTTATTAAGATAAAAATAAAATTTATATATATGAAAAATTTAAACTATCCTAATTTTGTAAAGAACTAAACTACCTGTTAATTCATAATGAAATAATTATAAGTGCACTGTCAGTTGGAAACTCTGGCTAGAGGAGTAAACTTTATATAAACAAATTTTTCTTAGAAAGGATCCCCTTCTTTCAATCTATACCTGTAAGTGCTTTAAAGAACTTGTGTTATATAAGGCTTTACTTACTCTTTAAACTAATAGTAAGTATTGGAATTACCTTTAAAAGAAATTTTTTATATTTATAGATGACCAAATATTTTAAAACTGTTATATAGAATATTTTAAGATTTATCTGACCCAATTTTTTGGCTAAATTCTAATTGAAACTAATATATTCTTTAAATACTTTGCTTAAAAAACTTGAAAATTGCCAGTAATTTTCTTTATTAGATGATTACTTCCTTTTTTTCAATTTATTGCTTTATTTTTACTTAATTTTTTAATATTATTATATATAATAAAAAGAAGAATATTTATAATCCTACAAATTTCAGTTTCTTTACATATATCTTCACTCTATCTATAATTGTAAAATTGTTTATTATTACTTTTTTTACTATAAAACTATTATTTTGCAATGCAGTAGCTCAAAAAAATATATAAATACTATTTCTAATTTAGATTAGAATTTCTTATTATAATTGTTATATTAATTTTCCATTTTAGATTTTTCAAATCGTATACAAATTAGTTAATTTATATCATATGCAAAAAATTCTGATTTTTTTTGTAATATATTATATTAGTAAATATACTATATCTGTTATAAATTATGATGCTATCATTTCTATATAGCAATAACTAATTATATATATACTTAGTATCAAGTACTTACATTAGTTTTACATTATTAATAAATATAATAATAAGTAATAATTTACTTGGAAATCCTATTGTATAGAATATATAATAAAATTGCTAAAGGCATTATACATGAAAATACCTTTTTTTTCTATTATACTATTCATTTATTAGATAGTAATTAATATCATTTCTTCAAATAATAGGAATAAAAAGAAAAATCCAGCTAGTATTAAAAATCAGATTATATAACTGTAGTGCAGTTAAAAAAAAAGTATAAAATTTGAATAGTATATCTTAAACTGGTAGACTAAATTCTAGTCAAAATAAATGCTAGTAAAATTATAAAAAATTAGTACAATTTATTTTTCAAAGATTTTATTAATAATACTAGAAGTTTAAAAGGATATTTAATAAATTATCAAAAATATGGATAGATATTATTTATATTTGCTATTAACATTGTGAGTAATATTATAAAACTTTATATCATGCAAAAAGAATCAGATATTTATAAATATTATCTAATAGAGAAGGTAAAGAGCATGGCTATAACTGTTTTGATCCCTAAAAATTCAGAGTAGTATTTAATTTCATGCATGTATTTTTTATTAGAGTATGAACTCAGTTTGTCCAAAATCACATGATTTTTTTTTAAACTTAAACCAATTATATAAAAATTACCATATTTTAAATATTTATAACTTTTTATATTAATATTATTTGAAAATCTAATTAATAATTTAATAGTACTTATCTTGAAAAATAAAGTTACTAATTTATTTTTTGAAATTCTATTTTTAAAAGTATTAAAAAATTTATAAGTATTCCAATTTTATTGTTAAGTATAAACTTTTAATACTATAAATCTATAATTTTAGTAAGAATAAAATAGTTGTAAAATTTAAAAACAAATTTTAAATTTTTTAACTTTAATTAAATTGTTAAATGATATTATTATAAAAATATGCCATTTTTATAGAATGATTAATATTTTTATTCCAGTTTATTATTTTATTATTATATAGATATATAAAGTTTAATGTATTTTTTTTTTATTATTTTACTATTGCTTACTAATAGTACTGTATTTTGGTTTTCTTTTTATATTTTATATAAATGTATGAATTATCAAGTAAATTAATAATAAGAAAAATATGGTTACTAAAAAATGTCAGATAGTAATACAAATTCTGTCTGTTCAAAGGAATGTAACAGTTTTTTATATAAAAAGTATGGTTTTTAGTGTTTTTTATATTTACAATCTTTTAATCTCACCATTTTTACTGGCAAAAACATCAATCTACAAAAATTGGTATGATTCTAATAGGCTGCATATAATTGTATAAATATTATATTAATGAAATCAATAAAATATAAAATAAAATATTAACACTATAAAATCTAATATTATTTATAATAAAATTTAACATGTATCATTACATCTTTTTTAATATTGTTTTCAGATTTTATATCATTCAAAATTTTTTTATATTCTGTTTCCAATTTCTCAAATTTTTTTACTATTGTATTTCTATATAAATCATTTTAAAATCATTATTTCGTGGCATTTCTCATGTATATATATGATATTATTTGATATCGAATGGGTGAATTAAAGTAAGATATGTACTGTACATTTATACCTGGAAAAATATTAGTAAAATTGAGCTGGTACTTGGTATACTATATATATCAGAACAAATTATAAAGATGTTTGTTCAACATAATTAAAACCCATTGGGTTGGATTGATATAAGATTTATATCTTCGTTCATTTCAGATTGTTGCACATCCGAATAAAATTAAGATCGAATTCTGGGATCCACACACGTGAAAATCACGTGCCTCATAATAGGATGGCATCAGAGACCCGGATTTATTCCGATATTAAATCGCAAATTTTTATCACGATAACGAAAAAAATTCCGATTTTATTCCGATAAACAATTACCAATTATAGTAAGAAACATTTGATAATTCTAGCCGGCCTATATCTTAATGCAGGCCAACTTAGGTTGCGCTAGTGACACGACAATAATTTTTAGTCAAAAACTGTATAGATATTGCAAAATTGCAAAATCACATTTTTTAGTTAGACTTCTATCACGATATAGTCAATAAAATATGCAATAATGATTGGCTAGTTGTCACGTGCCGGAATAAAATTGTTAAAAATCATAAAAATTCCGTTTTATTCCATAATACAGCAAAAATTCTGATTTATTCATTTATTATAAAAATGGAATTTTCCCGGGTCTCTGGATGGCATCTTGACTTCCAAGAGTAAGCACGCGATTAAAAAAGATTTTCAGAATATAATATTTCTAACAAAATAAATAAGGGGTGAAGTGTGTCAACAAATTATTGAATGTATAAATAATTTCACAATGTTTCTTTAAAAATAATGCAAGTATGCAATAAAATCAATTATTCAATTCACCCTTTAAGGAAGTAAATCCATTAAAGTTATTAGTATTTATTAGTAAGTACCTTCTTAAAACATAAGAAGTATACTAAAATAATCTGGTTTTTATTATTATAAATAAATAAAAGATTCTAATATTTACGAAATGATTCATTATTCAATGAACAAGTATAGAATTTGATTGATATTTCTAATTGAAACATGTGTAACAAAGATTTGGGGCTTCGAACATTCTAGGAACTCCTTATTTAGCTTATAGGTTTCGAACATAAGTTGTAATACGATATGAATTCGGACCACATCAGAAAAACGTTGCAATGAATGACAAAAAAAGAGAACAATACGTAAAAAATAATAGAACCATCTGACTATTTAGGTTTTCTAATTCCGAGTTAAAAATATATACAATAAATGTGTACTCCTATTGGGTATAATCCACTATTTAGGGCCGCAGTTTCGCAGATCGCCTTCGCCAATTTATTTTATTAAAAAAGCCTTATCAAGTCTACAAATTCTTTTAATTAAAATATTCTGTCTTCATCATTTACAATATTTTTTCTTATTAAAAGTAAAAAACAAAAGAAATGAAAAATTTGAAAAATTCCAAATTATTTTCTATATCAATATTATGTCTACTTCAGATTATAATAAAAGTAAACGCTCAGTTAAGCCCTTCTTATCGTAAATTACATAGCGCGGTTCTCGTTGAAAAAAAACTATATATTTTTGGTGGTTTTAATAGTCCTAATTTAGCTCCTGAAAATGAGGTTAATTATAATAAAAGTCCAGATGACAGATTTTTTTATCTTGATGTTTCAATTTCATTTGATACCTCAAACTTACCGTGGAGATCAGTATCAAATAATGTAGATAATTTACCATTAGGATCATTATCATCAGTAGCTACCGGAGGTGTAGCAGCAAGTATTGGAGGTGTAAATAATGATATGATATTCTTTTTTAATAATGAAAGAGATAATGCAACAAAATCAGATCCTCCAGTTCACTCTTACAATTCACCGAATAATGTATGGAATACACAAATTTTTTCAGGAAACAATCCTATTGGTAGAAATCAAATGAGAATTGTTACTGATTATAATGGAAAAGTATACTTGCTTACTGGGTTTGACTTTACTATTCAAGGAGTAACTCGCTCTAGTGGTCTATTCGTTTGTGATACAATAAATCTGGATTGTGTAATCAAAGATGCTCCTTTTCCTAGGCTTGGTTATGGTGCTACTTTGTTACCAAATGGAATGATAATTTACATAGGTGGAGGAGATAGAAACTATGTTCCTATTCGAGATGGTTTTAGATTAATATATTTATATGATCCAGCTAATGTTGAATGGATTCCAAAAGTCACTACAGGAAAAAAACTTTCTGATGATGTTGGATTTACAACAGTACTTGGATTAAATGGAGATAGAATAATTCTTTATGGAGGTAATAATAATAATGATGACAATAATTTATATGTATTAAATCTTACAAATTATGAGTGGTTTGTACCAAAAGTTAGAGGAAAAGGCCCTCAATATAAACGTGGTGAACATTGTGCTAATGTAATTGGAAAATATATGGTTATAACATTCGGTAAGCGCATTTTTTATTAGTTAAAATTATTTAATTATTATATTTATTTATTTATAATTATCATTTTAGGTTCTAATGGTGTTCTTGATGCTAAATATAAAGAAGATGGTGAAAGTGATGTACTTTTGCTTGATATTAGTGATGATTCAGAATATGTTTGGACAACTTCTTTTGACCCTACTCCATTAAAAATTAATTCCACACCATCAAATTCCTTATCATTAAAACCAGCAACAAACAATACAAGTATTATAGTTGGTTTAACAATTGGATTAATATTATTTATTTGCATATTATCTGGAATTACAATCTTTTATATAAGATATAAAAATTCAAACAAAGCTATCCCAACTCCTGGTAATGTTGTTAAAGATGGAGACATAATAACTATTCCTAGTGATTATGAATTATCTCATGGAAAATATAGAATTTGAGGTAAAATATATATATAATGATTAATGAGAATTATTTTTTTATTTTATTTGAATTTGTAATAATCTTGTAGATCCGCGTTAGTTTTAAATCTGCTTTTATACTTTAATTTAATAAATATACTGTATTATTCGCGATTTGTATAGTTTCTTTTATTTAGACTAGTGATATGCAAGATTGAGTCCGGAATCGACCAATCAAATTTTATTTATCCTGTAACAACGGCTAATAAGAATTTTATTGTACAACCTATTCTTTTTTTTTTTGTTATGCTTAAAAGTTTAGTCCAATAAAATTTTTATAGTATAGTTTCGAAAAAATCGTAAGGAATTTCACTGTTTCGGAATTTCTTTTCCTTTTAAAATATGATTCTTTGTATTAATTGCGAATCAATGTTTAGAATTCACCTTAAAATTATACCCTCCTTGTTTGTTATTTTTAGTATATTTTTTAGTATGCGTTACTAATGATTGTGAACGATGTCAGATATGAACAGTTTAGCCATATAAGTTAAATGAAATTGTCATCTAATTTTTAGCAAACTCGCACAGAAACAGCAGCCACAAACTTCGTTAAATCGCATAAAATTTAAAAAAAAGTTTGATTGTCTATCGTCTGCTTCGTTATTTTTTCTTTGAAAAAAAAAAAAATATGAAAAAGTTCACGTTATTCTTTATAACATTATTATATTTATTTCAAATTATAAATGCCCAGTTAAATCCTAGTTTACGTAAATTATTTAGTGCAGTTCTCGTGGGAGAAAAACTTTACATTTATGGTGGTTTTATGGATAACGAAAATGCAAATGCTCAAAAAACTCCAGATTATAGATTTTTTTATCTTGATGCATCAATTTCATTTGATACTTCAAACTTGCCATGGAGAGCGATACCAGATAATGTAAAAAATTTACCTTTAGGATCATTGTCATCAGTAGCTACCGGAGGTGTGGCAGCAAGTAATGGAGGTGCAAATAATGATTCAATATTTTTTTTTAATAATGAAGTTGCAAAATCGGTCTCTCCAGTTCTCTCTTACAATTCATTAGATAATGTATGGAATACACAAAATTTATCTGGAGTTAAACCTATTGGTAGAAACCAAATGAGAGCTATTACCGATAATAAAGGAAAAGTATATTTGCTTACTGGGTTTGATTTTACCGTTCAAGGAGTAAAACGTACTGATGGATTATTTGTTTGCGATACGATAAATTTAAACTGCGTAATAAAAGATGCTCCTTTGTCTAGACTTGGTTATGGTGTTACTTTATTACCAAATGGAAATTTAGTTTACATAGGCGGAGGGAATAGAAATTATATTCCTATTTCAGATGGTTTTAAAGTGATATATTTATACGATCCAATTAATGATAAATGGGATTCAAAAGTTACTACTGGAAACATCCCACCTGCAGATGTTGGTATAACAACAGTACTTGGATTAAGTGGGGATAAAATAATTCTTTTTGGAGGTAATAATGGGGATAATAATAATTTATATGTATTAGATACTACAAACTATGAATGGTATGTACCACAAGCTAGAGGAAAAGGTCCTGTATTTAAACGCGGCGAACATTGTGCTAATGTGATTGGAAAATACATGGTTGTTACATTTGGTAAGCGTACTTTTATTAGCAAATTTGTTTATTTTTTTTCTTTTATTTATAAATTTATAATGATTATTTTAGGTTCCAATGGTGTTCTTCAATCTAAATATAGATCAAGTGGTGAAAGTGATGTACTGTTGCTTGATATTAGTAATGATTCAGAATATATTTGGAAGACTTCTTTTGATCCTACTCCATTAACAATTAACTCTACACCATCAAATTCCAAACCAAAAGCAAATAATATAGGTGTTATAGTAGGGCTAACAATTGGAATAATAGTACTTATTAGTATTTTATCAATAAGTACTTTATTTTTTATAAGAAAATATAAAATTTATAAAAATTCAAAACCTATACCTACCCCTGGTAATGTTCTTAATAATGAAGAAATAATGTCAATTCCTAGTGATTATGAACTATCACATAAAAAATTTGAAACATTGAGATAAAAATAAATTATTTTTCTTTTTCTTTTTTCTTTTTACAATTTATCATACCATAAATTTATTGTTATTTAAAAAATAAATTTTATTATGTAATATATTACATTTAAATAGTATAGTAGATATATTTAAATAGTATAGTAGATCATATTTTAATTTATTATTCAAATAGTATAATAAATTATAAATTTAATAAAAATTATTAAAATTATTAATAATTGTAATAAAAAGTTAAAAAATTTCTTTTATAAACTTAATTTATATTTATAAATATGTTTATAGGATTAAATAATAAGCCGTTGGCCAGAATTATCAATTTTTACCGGCACTATATTTTTTTTTAATGCTGGTTGATCGTCATAATTTCAGTCACCGGTGAACATCACCCCGGTGATAGTTAGAAGAATTCAAATAATAATATATAAAATTTCAAAATGTAATAGTCTAATAGATAAATTTCTTAAATTAAATTTAATTTTAAATTTAATTATATATATTGTATTAATATATAATATAAATTATTTTTATATTTATTATTATATTTATTATTTATAATTATAAAATTGTAGGTTTCTAAAATCCTATTCTTAATATTCTTTAATGGTTTTTACTCTGATTATTAATAATAATTTTTTGTTCTGAATAATAGAAGCAATAAAAATGTATATAAATATTTCTCAATTGTTTGGATGATATCAACAAAATCAAATTATATACTTTTTGTCAATTTATTGAGCTTTTTGATCAGACAACCCACTTGATTCATTTTATTTTACTGTTTTAATAAGATTACTAAATATTCAATAACACCGTATTTTATTGAAATTGAGCACCCTCGAAAATAAGCACCCCATAAACTTTTCAAAATTTTTTATGCAAATGTTATATACAGTATATTTCTAATAAAAATAATATCAAAAATAAGCACCACCCAAAATTTTCGTCCAAAAATCTTGCAAAATGGGTGCTTAATTTCGATAAAATACGGTAGTCTACTTGTATATATTTTGAAAAGAACCTGTTAAGTAAGAAAAAGGTGATTATCTGTTATGAATGAGGTACACTTGTCAGTGGTAGCAAGCAGTTGTATGATGATTTGGATGTTCTTGGAATCTTGTATAAAGATGTTTAAAATCCTTATGTGAATACAACAGCTTTCCTCCAAGTTCTTATATATTAATTCGGGTCATAGCATTATTCTTAATTTTTTAGTACCTATGATATATGATGATGTAAATGCAACTTGCAAGTGAAAAGTAAGGTAAAAAAGGGAAAAACAGGTAGAATTTGGATTTGGATTCGTTAATATTAAATTAACAATTTAATTTAATAAAATAAACTAATGTACGTTAAATAATAAAATTAATAATAATAAATATAAATAATTTGTGGGAAGAGAACCGTAACCCGTATTGCACAACTTCTTATTTTAACCCTCTTATTTTGCGGAGATTTCATCCGCACATGCCATAACCGTAATTATATCCAAAATCTTTTTCACGCCTTTATTAACTTTAATATCCTTCGAAATTTTTAAAGCCTTCTTATTAAATTCAATGGAAAACAAAGCTTTCTTAGCCTGAGAAAACCGTCAGTCCGTATTGTTTGTTCCTTATGAACTCTTGTTGTACCTTATCTTTTGTAACACAGTTAAGGTTTTCGACTTCCTGAAATGAAAGATATTTATAGTATCAATATATTTTTAAAATTACATAAATAAAATCATAACGAAACATACTCTTACCTTTATGCATAACATCACCAATTATCTCATACTTACTCTGGTCGCATGTTAATTTCCTTTATTGTTGTGTCTCCTGAAATATGAAGTACCGTGAAGTATGCCGAATATTCATTACACATGGGCTCCCGAGTTTTTTGAATAATCATGAATCATCATAAAAATCATGATTAATCTAAATAATTGTCTAGGTGTAAAATTCTGAGAAATACACTTCAATTTTCGTTTTTGCATCTAACGAATTCAATATTTGAAAGGCTATAAGTAGTTGAGTTTCTATTAACTAAAGTCCTGTAATTTTTTCAACTTGAACAAAATGTCGCCATAAGAAGGTGAAATGCCCATTGTCGTTTTGAATTTCGTGGGTTTGTGGAACAAATAGGTTGTCCTTCAGTTTTAGACTGAGGTATGAAGAAAACGGGCGCTTCAGTTTTCTTTGAGGACCTTGCTTCTTTCACGAGTCTCGTACTGAACCGAATGCATAGTCAATACTACGAATTTTCTTCAGTCATATTGGAGAAAGTCCCGACCGGTAACTTATTCGTTGCGAGGTGTTGAAAAGTTATCTAAACAAAATTATCAAAATTATAAAGGCATCCGTATATGAATCATATTCGGCGTAGCCAGTAACTAGTGTAGAAGTAGTAAGATAGGCGAATAAAAAAAGTAAAAAAAAAGTGGGTATATGTGAAAAAATAATACGTTGCACAGACCACTTTTGTAACACAAATCATTTCACCACTCCGGACTAGCTGTATCGGAAGAAGAAATTGAATTTTGCGTATCAAAGTTCTTTAAAGTATTTTTGGAGGAAAAAATTTTTTTGTAATAAAGTGAGCGCAAGAAAGATTTTTCGTACTTTAACATAAAAACCCTCACTTGCTTATATCGGCTATTTTAATTATGTTTAAAGGGTATTGTTTGCTTATCAGTTTCAGATATTTTTGTATACATGTTTGTCCATGAATGGAAAGTTTCATCTGTTGAAAAATGGAAGTGGCCTCATTATCTTTAAGGGAGAAGAAAGAGAAATTGACGGAAGAGTGTTAATGAACTACCGGCTCGTATCGATTATAACCGTGTAAAAATTTACTTCAATAGATACGTTATTGCCAATTAAATCCATAGTAGGAATTTTGATATTCTATTATAAAGATTTTAGCTTCATACTTTATTCCATACTATTCTAAATCATTGTCAGACACACGATCTTTTTACTATCTCGTTTAAAGGCCTATCATCCAATTTCGTTCTGAGCCATTTTAAAAGGTTTTCTTCTTGGGCCGCATATAAATGGTATTTAATTATGTGCTCATATCCATGTTCCGTCCCGTACTTCTTTTTCGTAATATTCCCTTATTGGCATGTAATAATATTAAATGTTCCTAGTTGTTTTTTTTGTTTATTCCAGCAAATTTCATATGAATCTGTTACATGCCCTCCAATTATTTTGTGCTGGGTTCATTTTCTGTTTTGGAATAAATTGAATTGTAATGTTCGCCGAAATTATCATGCAATTTTATAAAATCCCCGCATCTAACCCAAATCGAAGTATAATCCGGAAATAATATTTCGTGGAGTTTATGCAATTGTTCTTGCATTAATTTGATTCTTTCCTTTCTTTGTCCATTCGGGACTAATAATGTATAAATGTATAACTCAAGTTTTGGGTCTTGATGTTTACCGAACTTCACGTCTCACATGCGCTAGCCACACATTACCTTTAGCTAATTCATAATCAGGATAAATAGACTCATTTTGAAAGTTATTGTATGCTTTCATTTGACTAATAATTCTTTAAATAATGAGAATGTTGGTTAACGGTTTAGAATTGCGGATATTTTTATTTTTCGAAAATCAATATCGATCTGACATATTAAAAGCCTGTTCATTCCGGTCGGTTTTTCATTACCCGCCAAATAATGGGAGGCGGTCAGTAGAAAAGGGGGAAAACTGCCCATTACTAATCACATAATGAACAATCATTGTCTTACTAAGTTTTATCATAGTGGTAATTTCCCCCTTTTCTACTGACTGCCTCCTATATGCTGAGTTGCCGGGGGTTTCAATAAGGAATACTATTAGTACAACACAGTTGAACTAAAAAATATTAGTCTAAAAGTCCAGTCGCGCATGGCATCAACCGACCGGACCTTTATTGGAAATACGCGTGATTCTATTTCTCGTGTTACAAATAAAGAATCCTATTGGGTATTGTTTCATCTAAACAGGTTAATTATCCGGAATGTAAATAAATATAGTACCAAATAAATGCTTAAAAAAGGGAGAGTCATTTGAAAAAAATATTTTTTAGAAAATATTTTTTTCACCTCTAATAAAACGAAAATAAAGAATTCTCGCCTTTATTCTCTAAAAAAATATTTTATCCTTCGCATTCTTCTCTTGTGTTGATAACGGAATAATTGTTTTCTTGTAAATATTATATACTATTATATACTAAATTCATTTTGTGGTATTTTACATTATGAATTAATTTAATTATTAACTTAATATTTTTTTTTGATTTTAGTATAAGACTAAAGATGTTTGCTCCAGTAATATCTCTCATGTATAGTATCTTTCTACAACAAATTAGTACTTATTTTATTTGTACTATTTGTACGTTTATTATAATTTATTATAGTTATTATTATTTAATTGAATGAAATTTTCTCGTCAAGAAAAAAAAATGGGTTTCTTCTTTTTTCAAATCTATATTTTTTCATCTTATTATGTATATTATTATGTATATTATTCATCTTATTATACAACCTATATTCATCATCATTGTATATGTAACACGACACATGATATCTTAAAAGTATTGTTTTTTTTAACTATTATAATTATTGTTGACTATAAATAAATCTTATCAGTCAACAATTATATCAAGTCACCACCCCTTAATTATTGCCGAATGACATTTTTCATTGGATAGACGATTTTAATATTGTTTATATTGTTTGATAAATTTGTTAATTTTGTCCATATTTGGTTAAATTACTAGAATACAAAATACCAGTACCTTAGCCATGTTTTTGATTCACCAAATCATCTATGTAACGATTGTGATGATTGTGATTAAAAATGTATCAACAATCAAAAGGGAATTTACGCGAGGGTTTTTGATGATCGGCAAGTTTATTGATGCCGCAGCTTTGGTAATTTATACCGATTTTTTCGTTCATGCGCATTTCTTATTGGACGAGGTAACACTTAAATACGCAGACGTACATAGCGAATCGAATAATAGATAAATTATTATAAATAAAATGAATAAATGAAAATCGTAGCCAGGACGCAGCAGTTGCAATTAGTTAAAATCTCCACCCAGATTCCAAATTTACTTACAAACTAGTTGTAACCTGTTGCTTCGCACTGTAATGCCGGCTGGAATTATATGATTGTTATATAAATTTCAATTTTTGAATTTGTTTAACGTCACGTAAT